ACTGGTGGTGCCCACCGTCACCATGGTTTTACTACTACTCGCCGCCCCCGTTTACACCTCCATGGAGCCCACCAATGTCTGCATTTCCTTGCGCGTACCCTGGCGTCCTGTCAACTTCCAGCATCTATGCGGCGGACGGCAGGGCCGTAGTCAACAGTGGCGATGTCGGCGACACTAGCAGTGACACTGTTGTCACAAACCCGAACCCTTACTATGCCTGCCCACCGCCATGGATGTCACCGTTCTTGCCCCCACCACCAGGTCCAGTGCTTGCCGCAGCGTCAATAGTACAACCGCCGCACCGTCCACGGGAAGCGGACGTACAGAGACAACATAAAACCAGTACTGATCGCGAATCTCGTGTAAACTGTGATGAGAAGACGAGGGAGGATCTGAGTACAACGCTAATTCCTGCTTGCCAAAGCACAACCGCCGGAAGCTACGGTGTTGTTGATAGTAAGCCGACGGGCGACGCTAGAGACGCTGAAAGTGCCGTTCAGGGGGACGACAGTTGTCCTGACAGCGAGGAAGAGGAATTCGTTGAAAGACAAATTAGGTCGTTCAAAACCGGCACTCCACTGTCGACTTGACAACAAACTGTCGACAGCATCAGATGGCTTCTAACGTCGGTGTTATCGCCGAACAACGAAGTTTAAGCTTTTGGCGTGACGGTTTACTTTGTACTCCGCCCGGTACTGCGAACTGTGTACGAGGAATTGTTTCAAGTACATTGAATTTTACTTGCGGCACTGTGGCTACTTAGTTAATTTTCAGCAGATTGCTTATATTGTACAGGCGTAAAGGAGAGCTTGTTTTGCTTTCATATAATGATCTTCGGACGGCTGCTGATCTGTAACTGTATAGATTGTATGGAGCTGGGACTGTCGTGACCTATTTTAAGGCACGATGATCAGTTGTAAATGTTGTTGCAAAGAAATGTTTGGTGAATTTTAGTTTTTGGGCAGCGTTTTACATAATGAGCCTTGAAATCTCAGTATGCATCGAGACCATGGAAATCACGGTTAGTTTTTGCCTTTTGCGTGTTTTTTACCGCTAAGTGCTCTTTGTTCTTTACTCATCACCGCCAAGCGCGTCAGTTGTTACTTTTTTACCGCATTTAACTATTTGTTGTTCATATCGTTAAGTTTTTTACTCTGCTACGTTTTGATCGCAATCCGTATTTTTAATTCTGAACGGTTGATACTTACATACGTTTTAGTAAAATTTATTTTGCCAATCCAAATCGAATGTTACTGTTTCTTCGGTCTGCGTCCGTCGCGACCTGTCGAATTCTGTTGCCTGTTTCCAGCGTTTTACAAGGATTTCCATGCAGCTTTTAGCTATGCTTGCCTCCCTGCATTTTGGCAAAACCGTGTGCCGGTTTCCGCGCGTCGTCACCTGCATATCATGCGTGCGAACCACTCACGACACGACTTTCGTTCACCGAGATTCTGAGGACAACAACGCTCACACTCCAAAGTTCGAGTTTACGGCGAATAATATCAAAAGGATCGAGGCAATCAAGGCGATGTACCCTGAAGGCCACAAGTCGGCCGCAATTCTGCCTGTTTTGGACATTGCACAGCGCCAGCATGGATGGCTTCCGTTGTCCGTCATGAACAAAGTGGCAGACATCCTCGGTTCGTATTGTCTTTTGCCTTTATTACTGAAGTTTCGTAATCGCCTCGAGTAAAAATTATGGGTGTTGTTGGCACTGTTCTTCGAAATGCTTTTCTCTTTGTAGACGTTCCTCGAATGCGAATCTACGAGGTGGCTACGTTTTATACAATGTTTAATCGACACTTCGTCGGTCGGTATCACGTTCAGGTGTGCACTACGACGCCATGCATGCTGCGTGGTGCGCAAGAACTTGTTCGGTCGATCAGCGAACATTTAGGTGAGCATTGGTCAATCACTTTCGTTTCTTTTTCAAGGGCTTTTTCCTGTTCAGGTGTCAGTGTCGGCAAGACCACCGAAGATGGTTTGTTCACGGTTTCTGAGGTCGAATGCTTGGGCGCATGTGTTAATGCACCTATAATGCAAGTTAGTCGTCCATTCTTTGTGTTTAGAATGAGGCCACTATTCTGATTACTGTGTTGTTTTAAACTTTAAAAGTCAGAATCACTGCAACTTCCCACTTTCGTGCATCACACGGTCAAGTTGTGTTTCAATGAATTTCTTATACTTCGTCCACCAAATGCCCAGTGAAGCAACGGAGTCGTAAGAATAACAGAAGTTTTGAATTGCCGTTTCGGCGTTTTTCTTTCTCGATTTTTATCGATGTTTACTGTGTTGATAAGTTGTTACACAAACTGCAGGTCATGCTGTTTGGCATTTCTCAAATAGCAGGGAAGGGAAAAACATGGAAGTAGAAATGAAATGCAAGTTGCATTGATTTAGCGGATTATCATATCATTTAACTCAGGTAAAGCATCATGAGAGTGACATTAAGCTTATTTTATACGAAATCCATCTACGCTGTGCCCTGGAGCTGATTCTGACATCCATTATCCAACATTATTTTCATCTAATTGCCCTGTTAGTGCTATGGTGTCACAAACGCAAATCAATATCACTTTCAGTTGATGGTTCTTGCCTTCTACTTTGTCCTACATTTTGTACTCGGCTGTTTCCATCGTATTTTGATGCTACTGGCGAGGCTTTCGTGGTCAAAGATTATCTGGTCGGTAGTTTCTGTGGCCATCTATTATCCCGAAGCGGTTACTTGACCAGTCCATTGCATTTGATGGCACATGTCCTGGATTACACCTCGGCGAACTTAGGCTTTTGAATATGGTCGCAAAGCAAGATCCTTTGGGTAGTATTCAGCTTGTTTTCCTTCAGTTTTGTAGTAGGTAGTACCGGTACCAGCTTTGCATCATATATTATGACAAGAAAGACAGTTGCTTCGAGCGGTTAATTTCTACGCCGGCGTTGGCAGCTGATTTTGCAGTAGCACTGTTTTATGCTAATCCATACTATCTTCCTGCTGTTTCTGGCACATCATGCTAAAATACAGCAGTTCTTTTGTGTCCCTGTTTCGTGTGACCATTCTTTCCCACTAAGCAGTTTATGTGCATTTGTATTTTTTTGATACGTCTTTTGTGTGCGGTTGTAAATATGATTTTAGGTGAATGACGACTTCTATGAAGACCTCACCGTTCGCGATGCTGCAGAGATAATAAGTCATTTGAAGAAAGGAATTAAGCCCAAAGCTGGACCGCGTAGTGGAAGGCTTGCTGCAGAGCCAATCACTGGACTCACTTCACTGACAGATCCCCCTTACGGTCCAGGTTTCAAAGTTCGAAAAGATCTTTGAACGTGCCAGTATTGAAGCAGTATTATCGTTTTAAGCCTATCTGTTGTTCGACGCTTCGTATATTTTTAGTCAGTTGTACGTTCCAGTTCATTTGTTACATCAGTACTTTCTGTTCATAAATTAGTGTATAAATCTACTGGTCTATTTACAACGAAGTATCTATGAGTTCACTATGACAGTGGAAAGACTCACAGATATCTAGATTAATAAACACAAATGCATAGCGCATGAATATAATTAATAAGCAAATCAGGGTCAAATGGTAGGCGATCATTTCAGACTCCTAGAGCCGTTGTGCTTTGAAATCGAGCCGCGGAGATGGCTTCATTAGCGGAAGACGTTAATCACCAGCAATGCCTTATAGAGCTTCTAATTTTGCATCCGTAAGCATAGCCTGTTTTGAAAATAGATGGACAAATTGTACAAAAGGAATATAATGGCTTAATTCAATATTTCACAATTGTTCTCTGTTCAACGCGAATTCGTCTGATTCATACAAAGCAACTCATTAAATCAATACTCCTTACCTCAAAAAATTGTCAAATTAACCAATAGAATTCTGTCCCGAATTGTTAAAAGTTTTGATGTGGATAGCAAATCAAGCAAGTTAGCTAGCATCAATTTAGCAAAGTAACGC